CATTGTGCATCTTTACAGCATACAATGTTTTTTCAAAGCGTGCATGCATTGCATGTGAAGCAAGTCAAAAATTACCATGTACATCAGATTATTCTCAACAGATAGCTGTCTGTTCACGAGTCTGTTACATTTTTGTTATTGTTTTTAATCTCATTTAATCTTCATCACAGCTTTAGGAGGAAGGAACTATTTTTTTTTTTTGGAGAGGTTTTTGCTACAGGGCACCTGCGCTCGCCAGATAGACAGAGACAGAGAGACAGAGATCGAGACCCCCAGGGGGGATGGCCATGCCGCAATCCCTTCTCCATTCTCCTCTCAGGATCTTGGGCATGCACACACACACGCCTGGAGTAAGTTTTAAGCCACTGTGTCCGGGACGCAAACCGTGGTCAACTACATGGGAGTCCAGTGACATAGCCATTACACTAATTGCTGGTCCCAGGAGGAAGGAACTATTAACATCATTATTTCTTAATGAGAATAAGGAGAGATTAGAGAAACATTTAAAATCATAGGGACAATAAATAGCAGTGTTGGGCTAAGTAGCGCAGAGTGCCTCCCCAAATCCTTACTCTACATTTGCATTTAAAAAAAATCATATTCTGGGGCCAGCAAATGGTGTGGTGATTAAGGTGCTGGAATCCCACATGGCCGACTGTGGTTCGAGTACCGGATCTGGTGGCTTGCTTTCTCACTTTCTCCCTCTCTGTCTCTCTCTGGTGAGCACATGCGCTTACAGCAAATTAAGTAATAATAATAAATAATTATTTTACAAAAAATAATATTCTTCCTGAGAGGAGAATAGAGAAGGGATAGTGGTGTGGTCATTCCCCACGGGGGGTGCTTTCTCACTTTCTGTGTCTCTTCCTCCCCACACCAGCAAGTGCATGTGCCCCATAGCAAATTAAAAAAAAATCATATTCTGGGACCAGCAGATGGAGTAATGGTTACGTTGCTGGACTCCCATGTAGTCAACCGTGGTTTGAGTCCCAGACCTAGTGGCTTAAACTCACACTAGATATGTGTGCGTGTGTGCTCAAGATCCCGAGAGGAGACTGGAGGAGAAGGGATTGCAGAGTGGCCATCCCCCCTGGGGAGTGATTTCTGACTTTCTGTCTCTCTGTCTCTCTCGTCTTTCCGGTGAGAGCATGTGCCCTATGGCAAAAACCTCTCTTAAAAAAAAGAAAAAAAAGCTCACATTCTATCTTGCACTGTCAATGCCAGGTTTTGTGTATGTTTTTGTACCCTCTCTTTGATATAGTTGATGTAGAGTATTTCACACAGTATTTGGCAAACAATAGTGTTTGGTGCTTGATAAATGTTAGCCATTTTTGTTGTTGTTGTTATCAATAATTATTTATATGTGGCCCAGAACGGTCTTGCCTCCATGCTAAGTGCTGTGGAAGAAGCAGAAGCATGAAAGTCTGGCCTTACTGCTGCCAGATTTAGCAAATGAAAAAACAGGATGTGATTCTTGAGACATACTTAAACTAACAAGTTATTTGTTGCTTATCTGAAATTCAAATTTAACTGGGCATCCTGCATTTTATCTGGCAGTCCTAGTGGGGGAACTTAGCAGTCAAGAGAGATGAGCAGAGTAGCGTGGAGTGAGAGCAGTGTTCCTTGCTCAGCCATATGGTGCTGATTAGCAGTGTTGCAACAGTTCTGAGAAGGGAGGGTCTAATGGGTGCTGGGCAACCAGAGAGGCCTTCACAGAGGAGGTAAGGCTTCCCAATTTGGGAATGGGGATTTTAAAGGCTTCCAGGTCATAGAAAGGATTAGAGGAAACAGCATTAGACTAAGTGACAATGAAAATGTGCTATTATAGAAACAGGATAATAGAAACAGAGCTGGGAGAAAGAGGTAGTATTCCTCTCTCTTTTTAAGTTTATTTATTTCTTCCGTGAGAGGGGAAGATAGAGGCAATTCCAGAGGAGTGCTGTGACCCAACCCCCAGCTGGAGCCAGCCAGCCTCACAGCACACACCCACCTCCCTGCATCCGGAGACAGACCTCAGAGCATAAACCCAGGACCTTCCCGCAGGGTCTCAGCATCAGAAAGCCTTGCATTACCACTGCACCACCATGGCCAGCCCAGGGATAATGCTCCTTTAAGTTGGTTTTGAAAGTGCACAGGACACAGCAGTTAGCATAATGGCTATGTCGCTGGACTCCCATGTAGTCGACCGCAGTTCGCATCCTGGACCCGGTGGCTTAAAACTCACACCGGGCGTGTGCGTGCGTGCCCAAGATCCCGAGAGGAGAAAGGAGGAGAAGGGAATGCAGCATGGCCATCCCCCCTGGGGGGTGATTTCTTGCTTTCTGTTTCTATGTCTCTCTCTGTCTGTCTGGCGAGCACATGTGCCCTATAGCAAAAAAACAAACAAACAAACAAACAAACAAAAACCTCTCCCCCCCCCAAAAAAAAATATATATAAAGAAAGTGCACAGGACAGGGGCCAACAGGTGGCATGGTGGTTAAGGTGCTGGACATTCCCACATGGCTGACCACAGTTCGAGTCCTAGACCTACCTGGTGGCTTGCTTTCTCGCTTTCTCTCTCTCTCTCCTCTGTGTGTGTATCTCTCTGGTCAAAATTTAAAAACAAAACAAAAAAAGAATGAATAAATAAAATAAGAAATAAGTAACTCATCCAAAAAAGAAAGAAAGAAAAAGTGCATAGGACAATAAGCTATCCATGACATTTAAGGAAATTGACCCAAACAGCACAGTTCCTGCAAGGCTGGAGACTTCCATGTTCTGGGTCTCCGTTAGCGGAGGTAGAATAAGCACAGTTCTGAATTCTGAAACTCACTAGGCCCCCAACAGAAGCAGTCGAAATGTGCCGAAGAATGGGATAAGAATGAGTTTTGCTGGGGAAAAGAAACAGCGTAACTGCTGTCTAGGTGAGACTCCTTGTAAGCAAAGGTCCGCCCTGCTGCTCCCTGGCGTGGACATGTGAAGTCCTGGTGATGTGCACAGTGCCCTGCCCGGGGTAGAGCACTGATTCAGTGCCTTCAGGTGTCCGGCCCTGTAAGTACATGATACCACTTAATTTTTATAACATTCCTATTTCATACCATAGTCCTTATTCTTTTTAAGAAAAGGAAACTAACATTCAGAGAGCTTGAGTAATTCACTGTGGATCACCAGCTAAAACTCAGGATCCAAATTTAGGTCTCCCAGATTTCAAATCCTATTCCCTCTCTCCTCCACCACCCTGGCGCAAGTCAGTTTGCTGCCAGCCACGTTTAGGGAAACACTCCCGGTATCCTCCGCATCAGGTACAACGATTATGTTCTTACCCCAGTGATTGATTTCTCCAGGTTCTTACTGGTAACCAGTGTGTTCCTGGGCACTCAGGCCTTCCTTCCAACGGTGGGGCAGGTCTTTGAGCCTTTATTCCCATCCCTTTGTCCTTCGGAAGGCAATTGTCCTGGTGCTGTCATCTATAGATCTCTAAGGCATCTTTGGCTGGAATGCTAGGTGAGCTCTCAGTACCATCTAAGGCCCCTAAAAGGTTTCAGTCTAGGTGAGTGACACTGGAAGCCTCAGCTCCCCTCAGGCCCACTGCATTTGGTCTCTACACCAAAGAAAGGCAGGGGGAAAAAATGCATCTAATTGAAAGAACTTTCCAGGTGCAGGGAACAAAATCCAGACAGATTACAGAGCAGGGCAGGCTAGCCACTAGCTTTTGCAGACCTTTAGAAGGAGCCCACTTATGACACAGAGTAAAGGAAAGACACTTCGAACTGTAAAGAGCAAACTGTTGAAGTTGAAGGGCTACGAAAACGTCTAACTTCTTGGGACATGTTTTTCTAGCAGTGTTGGGTTAGAGCTGTGATTGCCTCCTGCCGGGATTTGTGACCTCATCCCTCCTCCCCCACCCTCCCCAACTGTAACTATAGGGTTTTCCCCTTAGACCCTAACATATGGTTTGCAGCAGGAAGTGCGAAATCCCAGCAATGAGTAGAGGCTCAGGTTTCAGGCTCTCCAGAGACTCAGGTGAGCTATAAGGCATGGTCTTTGTTCCAAGTAAAAAGAGTTGAAAAGGGAGTGTTTAGTGACCCTTTGGTTTGGAATGAGGTAATCAATTCTCCAGAAACTTCTGTAAGTTTCCTGGGCAACAAAATCAATGTGTTGTTGATAGAAAAAACAGGAATAATAAGTTAGTTACAATTACAGATTTTCTTTTTCTTTTTTTTTTAAATAGGGATTTCTTCCTTACCAACCCAAACATAAAACAAAACGAATCCAAACAACACATATAAACACACACACTGCATACCAACACACATAAACCTAACCCTCTCTCACCCTTTGACTCACTTTTATGCTTTTAAAAACCTTTAAGCATAGTGCTGTGTAAGTATCACTAAGCTTGAGGAGACCAGAAAAGACAAAGGTGGATCAAATCTCATGCATAATTGTACACAGAATAAGAACATTTTGGGGTAGTTTTCAGGCCAAATAGTCCCACTCTGAGTGAGGTAACTGTAGGGTCAGCATATCAGAATCCTTAGGGATGTCAGAGGGAGGGAAGCAGTATGAGATTTGTATTTATCAGAAAGCGTTGAGGATTAAAAAAAAAAAAAGACAAAGACTGAAAAACTGGCTTAGGCTGCCTTGATTTTTTCCCACTCCAAAACCAAGTAGAGGTTGCTTTTCTTTTCTTTTCTTTTTTCTTTTTTTTTTTTGAGAGTTTTTTTTCTATAGGGCGCGTGTGCTCGCCAGAAAGACAGAGAGACAGAAAGTGAAAAATCACCGCGCAGAGGGAATGGCCACACCACAGTCTTTTCTCCTTTCTCCTCTTGGGGTTTTGGGCACGCACATGCGCCGGGTGTGAGTTTAAGCCACCAGGTCTGGGACTTGAACCATGGTCAACTACATGAAAGTCCAGCCACGTAGCCATTACTGGTCCCAAGGCTGCTTTTTTAAAAAATTATTATTTTCTTTAACTTTATTTTAATTTTTTTTTCTTAACAAAAAGTTTATAATGGAAATGTACATGACCTGATTTTTACATCATAGTAAAAACGGGCCTGTTGACAAGGGGACATGGGTTTTTCTGTTGAACAGCCATTATTTATACTCGTTCCAAGGCTTCTAACATGGTGATACTATTTCCTCGTATTACCACCATTCCAGTATTGTCCTGTTGCCCACTAGTTGCCATCTCCACACATTCGTCTATCACGAGATTCATCAATGGATCAAATCCCTGCAATATTCCTTGGACATGTCTGCCACCATTTAATTTTAATGATAACTTCTAAAAAAAGGTGGGAAGCGGAAGAGGCGGGGAGCGAGAAAGCAAGTCTCCAGGTCTGGGATTCGAACTGTGGTTGATCGTATGGGAGTCCAGCACCCTTCCTTAACCACCATGCCAGTGTTGCTTTTAATGGCCAATTTAAGCCGTAGGAAAGTGGTGAGGTCTTAGAAATCCTACTCACAGCACTTTCTGAATGCCTGGTTGAAATCAAAGCCTGTTTCTTTTTTCCTCTCTCCTTTTCACTGGAGCAGCTGGAAACCTCTCATTGCACAGCCTGAAAATACAGACTCCAAACCCAAACCGCCTGGGTTCTACCTTGCTTCTTTCCCTTTCCATATCTCATCAAATTCAAGATGACATTGGCTATAAGACGCATCGTTATTTTCAGCATCACGAAGAAAAGAAAATAAACCAAACACCCTGCCAATTAAATTAGGATACAATCCTAATATCGCTGGTAGGACACATCCTAATGTCAGTAAATGTGATTTTAGTAACACGTGAAAAATAACTTAGAGCTGATGAACTATGGTACGTACCTAGGAAAGTATCCCCTCTCTACATTCCATCTTCCCACGTAAACAGTGGTGATAATAAATGCTACCTTCCTCATAGGGTTCTTGTGAGGATTCCATGAGTTGGTTCCCGTAAAATGCTCAGAACATTCCTTGGCACGTACAACGTGCTCAATTAGCCATTGTTATTATTCATTAGATACCACTCAAATCGACAAATCCTTGTTCAGTTGAAGTGTGGAGGTTTTCCTGGCTCTCATTCTGCTAGGGGAAAAAGCAACACAGTAACACCCACACAGGGCGAACCACGATGGCAGAGATATGAAAGCAGGCCAGATTGCCGGAATGATAACAGATCATTTCTCCCTGCCTTGGTCTCTGGGTGATTTCTTCAAGTACACCCTGGTTCTCACTGCAAAGCGCCTGGCTTGTCTGGTAATTGTTCTGTTGTGGGAAGACTTTTTTGCATTCATGATACTCTTGCAGATTATTTTTGCCAAGTTTTTTTTTGTTTCTCTAAGCACTTCCTGAAGCCCTAGACATGGGAGGATTCCGACCTCAGAGGGATGCCAGGCGGTGTTTGATGCAAACAATCCATGCGGTGCCTGAGCCAGATAGTTCCACGCACCAAACACTGGTATTTCATTCACAGAGTCAGAAATGAGCTGATTTCACCGCGGTAGGCCTAAGGAATGGCGAAGTGAACAACCCTGTCTTGATATGCTGCCCCGTCTTGATGCAACTCAGTTCTGCAAGTAGATGAACATAGGTGCAAGTGAGAATTTCCAAAGTGATAGCTGGCTGGATGTGGATGGCTCAGAAATGACACCCACGAGGGCAAGGCTCCAAGTCCGCATATGTTTTCCAGTTTCTTGGAAACTCTTGCATTTTGTTATTGTCCTTAGCCTTCTGCTATCCCTAGCTTCCTCCTGAAGTTATTGAAGGAATGGATATTTGGGTGATTAGAATTTCATCTAGCTGGCACTCACTGGAAGACACATGGCTGTTTTTATATCCATCCAAGTTTCGTCAAAAAAGAAACTGTGGGAGCTGGCACATTGGGGCTTGGTGTGTCTAAATCTGGAGTTTGAAAAAGCGTAAGACTGGGGTTCAGAGATATAAAGTCTTAGATCCCTCTCTCTCTCTCTCCCTCTTTTTATTTTTTAAGAATTATTTGTATTTAACTTTATTCATTTATTTATTTTAACTTGACCAGAGAGGGACAGAGTGAGAGAAAGAGAAGGAAAGTGAGAAATCAAGCTGCCAGGTCTGCGACTTGAACCGTGGTCAGCCATGTGAGAGTCCAGCACCCTTAACCACCACGTCACCTGCCAGCACCTTAGTCTTTCTTTTGGGCGATCCAAGTGGCACTTTTCACCATTGTCTGGTAGATTTCTCATTTATAGACCATCTCCTGATTCTAAGTCTCTCTGAGTAAGGAACTTAGAAAACGCTTGATTTCATTGGACACCTTTATTTTAATTTATTTATCTAAGTAATTAAGTTAATTATTTATTTTTTCCCTTCAGTAAGAGAGACAGAGAGGCACCCCAAATAGGGTCTTGCACGCCACAATCCACTTTCAGTCTCAGTCGGCCCCAGATCATGGACACTTGTATGCCTGGCATACTCAGGGAGGGCTGTGGATGTGAACCCAGAACGTTCTCATGTGGGAATCTCACAGAATGCCACATTTCACTGCTGTGTTACCTTTTAGCTCTACTGGGCATCTTTAAATATCAAATAGGATTAATTTTATGTGTCAGCTCTCTAGGCAATAGTGCTTAGTTGTTTGGTCAGACACTAGTTTAGATATTGCTGTGAAGGCATTTTGTCAACGTGGTTACATTTACAGTCAGGTGACTCGAAGTAAAGCAGATTATCACCCCTAATGTGGTGGGCCTCATGCAGTCCGAAGGCTTTAAGAGCAAAGACCAAGGTTTCCTGAAGAAGAAAACATTCCGCCTCAAGACCACAACACCCTCTTTTATTTGAATTTCCAGCTAGCTGGCCTACCCTGTGGAGTTCAGACTTGCCAGTCTCCACAATAACACAAGCAAATTTTATAAAGTAAACTTCTAGAAACAGCAGGTAGAGTAGTAACTAAGGCACTAGACTCCCATGTAGCAGATTATGGTTTGAGTCCTGGACTTGGTGGCTTGAAAATCACACCAGGGGCGTGTGTGTGTGTGTGTGTGTGTGTGTGTGTGTGTGTGTGTGCGTGTGCCTAAAATCCTGAGAGGATAATGGAAGAGAAGGGATTGCTGCATGGCCAATCCCTCAGGGGTGATTTCTCACTTTTCCTTCCTCTGCCTCTCCTTGCGTCTCTGGCAAGCACACATGCCCTATAGCAAAAATCTCTCTCTCTAAAAAAAAAGTGAATCTCTTTTCCCTCTTTGAGAGAACCATTTGCCCTGACTCACCTTGCACTTGACCTCCCTACCTGACCTCAGTTTCTGGCTTATTTTTCTACACTTGCCTTGCCCCTGGGCTCTGTACTTCCAGCTTTGACCTTGTGGGTTTTTTCTCCTAGCTGACTGTGATTTAAACTTTCTTTTTGGCCCCGCCTACTGTTTCCTTCCCTGAATAAACTTCCTCTGATCTGCCTCCTGAACCCTCACAGACTGACCCAGAGGGACCTAGATAGGTATGCCTGAGCTTAGCTAGGTATAAGCATAACTGTCCTCAAGCTCATGGTCTCCAGGGCTTCTACCTCTTTGTGCTTCAGTGGCTTACAGCATTCTTGCCCTACATACTTCTGCTCAGAAACCACATTCTTTACACAGTGTTCCCAGGCTTTTACGAAGGGTTAAACACAGTGGACTTGTTTTCCTCTCCTGGGCATTGCATTTCTAACTCATGTCACAGGAGATGTGTGGTTACAAGGGGACGTGTTTGTTAAATTACAGGGGAGAATGCATAATCACCTTTCCGTTATTTGCATGGGTCATTTCTAAAAGTAAGTACAGTTGTGTGTGTGTGTGTGCATATATGTGCACACGTGCACATTAAAGGTTATTTTATTGCAAAATGTTTGCAAAGTTCTTGGAATCCATGGAAGGAGAGTACTTGGGCAATGCCAAGAATCATTAGAAACACAGACTTTGCTGTTGTTGGCCCCACTCTAGAAGACTCTTATATAGCAAGTGTTTCCCTTTATAAGAGGCACCTTACAGGAAGTCTAGGGCATATTATGACTTCAAGGCGTTGCGCATCTGTCAAAGTCTAAAGGGCCCGATATATGGTCTTTCAGTCTGCGGTGTGTTTAAGACATTGAGGTATTTTCCTTTCTCTTGTACTTTAGTGGAATCAGGCCGAGCTGGTGTTATATAACACCACCATCTCACTCTGTAATGAGCAACTTCTAAGGAGGAGGCAGCAGGGGGAACAAAGCCACCTGGCCTTTGCCAACCCCTCCGTGTTCTGCCAGTGCACCTGCAGAGAGCTCTGAGGGCTCGGCCTGGAAGAGAGACCGCTTATTATGTTTCCTTGTGTGAGATGACTCAGTGCCTTTCCAGGACAGGCTGGACTGAAAAAAAAAAACCTCTGCCTTTGTTTCTTGGCCAGGTTTTACCCAAGATCCCCCAGGGCTGAGGGATCATTAAGCACCTGCCTAGAACCCCTGCCTTTTACTCTCACCTCACCCATTTTGAGAAATTTGATCAGCTCAGAGACATGAAATATTCATAGGAAGCTCCCAGTGGTCGGTGTCTCAAGACCTTGCAGGGTTGAATTGGGAACGTGTCACATGGTAGTTTTACGCCTCAGCAGAACTTGTCCATGATCCAGTGTGACCTATTGGTGCGCTAAATCGGACTGACGTTTCATCACTGGGTCTTCACCATAAGACAAATATCAGTCTGTCTACCATGGTTGGCCAATTGCTAGAAGGGGAAAGGTTATCAGTTAGGGCCCTTTCAGATGAGACAAAAACCCAATTCAAATTGATCTCAATGCATAAGGAAATATATTGGCTCAACTAAAAAGCCCAAGGCTAGGTTGGCTTCAGAAATGGTTGGCTTCATGGTTCAAATGAGGTCATCAGGACTTGGTCTCTCTCCATCTCTAGACTCTGCCTTCTGTTTGGTTGGCTTCATTTGCAGCCTCTATGTGGTGGGTCCAGCTGTTCTGGACTCCCTCTGGTGGTGGCAGGATGACTGCAATAGTTCCAGCTTCCATCGTAATGAAGCAGGAGTTGACAATTTTTTTCATTAAGGTGCCAGATAAGAACTCTTTTAGGCTTTGTGGACCATATGGTTTCTGTTGTAGCTTCTCAACTCTGCTGTTACAGTATAGAAGCGGCCATAGATAATATATAAATGAATGAATGTGACTGTGTTCCAATAAAGCTTTATTTATAAAAATGGGCGGTAGTGGGCCAAATTCGGTCTACAAGCTGCAGTTTGCTAACGACTGTAACTATAGAGTGGAGGATGGGAAATGGCTCCTCAACCAGGGACTAATCTTCGGTCTTACTTCGTAATTGGATATGGCCGCGTGACCGAGTGCTCACCAATGGGAACATGGGCAGAAGTTAGCAGACCTTCTATGGGTCAAAACTTTTTTTAAATTTTATTTTGGTTTATTCCATCAGAGAGAGGAAGAGAGAGAGAGAGAGAGGAGCATCCTAATAGGTATTTGTTGTTACAACCTACTCCCAACCCCAGTTGCCTGGATCATGGATGCACACACACCTGATACATTGGGGAAGCTTCCGGACAGAACTGGCAATGTTCCCGTGAGGTCTGCCCGAGAGCAGGGTGCCCTGCTGCTCAACCACTGTCCACTTCGTTGGGTAAAAACCTTTCATAGGCAAGTACACCCCTTCACATTCTCTTTACCTTTTGCTGGATTTGATAATGGCGATGTTCTAGGAGTGGTAAAGTCACAGGATAAAGGTGTCTGATTCCTGAGTCACTGTGTGGAGGGATGTGGCCAATGGCTAGAAACAGCTGTCTTGGATTGTTACATTGAGTGAGAAGTAAATTTTGATTGTATTTAAATCATTATACATTTAGGGTATATATTTTTAAAAAATAATTATTTAATTTAATTTTATTTATTCATTCATTCATTTTAATTTGACCAAAGAGACAAACAGAGAGATAGGGAAAGTGAGAAAGCAAGCTACCAGGTCTGGGACTTGAACTGTGGTCAGTCATGTGGGTAAAGTCTATTTTTAATAGCACTTTACATGCCAAGTACTATAGAAATTGGTGTCAGGAAAGGAGTATAAATGTATGAAATTTCCCAAATATGTGGCACTCAGTAATGTGTAAAGGGAGACGAGAAAACAGAAGGCTGCAAAATGGTGACAATGTCACGCAGTGGCAACATGTTTCTTAAAACTGTTCCCTGGGTCAGCCCCACAATGCACTGTGCATCAGGAGCCAGATTCCACTTGGCCAACCATGGTTCTAATCCTGGACCCACAGGATTGAAAAACATACCAGGTCCATGTGTGTATATGGGCAAAACCCGGAAGAAGAAAGGGATGAAAAGAGATTGTAGTGTGATTATGCCACATGGGGGTAGGGGGTGCTTTCTCCTGCTCTCTCTCTCTCTCTTTGGTGAGCACATGTGCCCCCTGGCAATTAAAAAACAATTAAGGGCTAGTAGGTAGCGCGGTGGTTAAGGTGCGGGATCCCACATGGCCTACTCTGTAGTTTGAGTCCTGGTCTTGGCAACTTGAAAAACATGCTGGGCACATGTGCGTGCCTGCCAAAATCCCAGGGGAATGAAGGAGAGGAATTGCAGTGTGGTCATCCCCGCTGAGGAGTGACTTCTCATTTTCTCTCTCTCTTTGTCTCTCTATGGTGAGCACAGGTGCCCTGAGCAAAAATCTAAATTAATTAATTAATTCAAATTAAAACTAAAAACAAAGAAACAAACCCTGTTGTTTGCAATCATGTGGAAGGCCACCCAAGTCTATGCTGAGCTTGTAGCTCCGGGGGAAGCCATTATAAAGAGACAAACTGTTAGGGCATGTTAGGGTTGAGTTCCTTGTTGTTTATAACATGTTGTTACTAGAAGATATGATCCCTGGCAACAACTGACCTTTCTTTTTCTTTCTTTTTTTTTTTGTTTTTGAAGAGGTTTTTGCTATAGGGAGCGTGCGCTCGCCAGACAGAGAGACATAGAGACAGAAAGCAAGAAATCACCCCCAGGGGGGATGGCCACTCTGCAATCCCTTC